TATATATATATATATATATCACTGTATCCTGAGAGATAGTAGCCTAAGATGTTTTCTTGCCTTCCTACATCTCATGTATAGAAACTAGCAGCAATTGAATCATGTCTCAACATTGGTGCCCAAATAATATTTTCCATTATGCTTAACTAGTTTATAGCTCAAGATGGGCTGCATGATATATAAACAGTGTCTTCCCAGAGAGAGGAAGAGGCAAGATATTCAGCCCGAAGTAATCCATTATTCTGTCCAACAATTCAAAATATTGAACTAGAGTCAGAAAGAGACTTTATAAAAGAATAATCAGTAGTTTTAGAAAAATAGTTTCAAAGTTTTAAAAGAGCAAATTGCTTTTTGCAGATAGAAGAATACAAATATTTCTGAACATGGAGTTTAGTTGGCTTAGAATTTGGAACAATCTTATTATGAATTTTTATGAGAGATAATGCTGTCAATGAGAGGGAGGAATTCAGAAATAACTTCATTAATATGAGCTGAAAAAAATAAAGCCAACTTTCAGCTTTGGTATAGAGCAGTGTTTCCCAACCTTGGCAACTTGAAGATGTCCAAACTTCAACTCCAGAATTCTGGGAGTTGAAGTCCGGACATCTTCAATTTTCCAAGGTTAGGAAACACTGGTATAGAGTTAGAATAGATGATCTCCAAGACCTAACTAAAATTCTATGATTTGCACAAAACTATAGAATAAACTATAGACATGATCTGTTTCAATTACTAGATTAAAATTTGGTCAAACATAATTTTTTAATAGGAATTATATGCTCCTTATATATGTAAGAGAGAAATAATCAAATGTGATAAAAAACTAGATTTTTTTTTAATTTTACTAATTTGAGATCGGGAAAAATAGGATATGGACTTAACAGTGTGAATCCTTTTTATCTCCCCCCTTTTAAGGTAATCTGGATTCTTTAATTTTCTATGCAAAGTACAGTATTCATCTAGTAAGAATCACTGGAGAATCAACTTAACATTGGTCTGCCTGATACAGTGAAGGACTCTCATTTTTACTGTTAAGACCAGTTCTACTTTAAAAAATAAAATTGCACATATCATTTATAAACCATTTTTATAGTGCAAGCATTATCACTATTTACATATTGTACAATACCATTGCACATACTTAAAACATCATTTGGAGAGGTTGCTTCATTTTTGGAGCATTTCTTTAAAGTAGTCATATTTTTGACTTCTTAAAACAGTTTTGACTATTTTTCAAGTTTATGTGACGCCTAAAAAAAGATGTGGATATTTTAAAGAGAGCTGTGCTTATGCTCATGTGCATTTTGAAACAACACATCCAAATTTCAAAAGATGAAAAACCATATTGGACAATGCTGTTATCATAACATTATCCATATCATTATATTCATGAAACACAGTAGAAACACAACTCAAGAGAAAATGTGTGAAAGGATTTCAGTGCATGTCTTAAGGTCTCAACCAAGTCAATTTACAAGAAAGTGCTCAAAATAAAATACATGCTTTAAAACAAGGAACATAATCACACTATTCCATCTCCCATCTTTTCACTTCTCAACCAATTCTATTCAAGAAGATTATACAAGAGTATTCTTAGATGAAGTCTTGATTCAATACCAACTTCACAGTGATTACGGTGTTACGGTAGGCTGAAACACAGCAATTTGAGAATACTGCACCAATGTTATGCAGATTGGTACAAAAGCAGTATTGCTCAATATCATAGAGAATGACAGCTGAATAAGGAAGCTAAAGGAAGGGTGGAAAAGAGAAGGGAAAGATAGTAACTAGATGAGGCCTAAGAGGTTCCACAGTTTGAGGTAGAAGGGGGACTCACTGCTTTAGTCATTGATTCTTTCTTTTCCTGGAGAAAGCACCATAACAACGATTTCTAGTTAGAAGGCCAGCTGCTTACCTTATATGCAGTTTGCTGATTCTAACAGTAGTGGATGAAGTGGCATTTACCAATTGAACAGGCAGATGCCATTACCATTTCCGAATCAATGGTGATGCATATAGGGAGGCTATCCAAGCATCCAACTAGCTTAGAATGGCATGTTCTTTATTTGTGATGAAGTCGATACTCCAGATTATTGGGGTATGGAAGAGTGGGGAGGAGAGAAACAATGTAATGATACATGGGAAAGACCTTGGAAGACCAGGTGAAGAGATGGTGCCTTGGGAATGATCAGATAAGAGAAAGTATACCCCACAGTAGTACTATGGGAAGAGCAAAGGGACTCTGTTTAAGTTCCCGGACTTTAGAAGTGACAGCAGGATAATTTGCTAGATTCTGTTAATGTGGCTTTACAATAAAATAGAATTACTGTATCTGGTTATGTTTCCTATCTAGTCAACCTGGGAAGGCTAACTGACAGTAGTTGAATTGTTTGGCCTCAATTTACTCTTCTTGGTCCTATGTTTTGAAACTACAGAACATGTCTTGTTACACTAGTTTTGTTTGTTCATTGATATTAATGTGTATGTTTGTGCTCTATTGAGAATGATTTTATTTCCTCCAGTGACTGTTAGAAGATGAACAGTTTTTCTTATCTTTTTTCATTTATGATAAATGAGGTGTCTGGTAGGCTACAGAAATTTTCCTGTAAAGAACCCCATTTATGGATTAACAAAAGAACCAAGTGCTTGATTTCATTTGTAGTAGAGAAATCATCTTTAAGATCATGAACTAAACTAATTTGAAAGGTAAAATAAATTTTAAATAGTTAATATACCGTATGTCGATTGGATAAAAAGGGATACAAATAACAGAAGATAATTCACATCAGCACAGTTCCCACCACAGGAATGTTGATCATCAGGGAACCTGGGAAATTTGTCTAGCATTTTCTAAGACACAGATATCTTAATTTACTATTTAGAAATATACTACAAGAAAAATGCTTTAGCTAAGGATAGGACATTGTAAATTTACATTTAATAAAATGTAATTAATTATTATTTCTTCTATTTTTTCACTTGAAACTTATCTAATTAATATCTTTAATTCAGAATTTGGCTGAAATCTGGGATGTAGAAAGGTTGGTTGGATTAAGGCAAAAAGATGTATACACGTCATCCACTTCATATCAGATTCATGTCATTCCTTATGCAATGATTGCTAAGATGAAAGCATTGGCAAGAGTTTTCGGTCTTACAAGCTTATGCCTAGGTGGGGGGAAAAAGTCTTCACCTAATCTGTTTGCTTAGGTTACAAGATTTGGTAGCTTGTTTAGATGTCCAAAATATTATTTTTAAAAAGGAAAGTCTTCATTCTTGTGTTTTCATCTTGGTATAATTATCTGTTCTATTGCACAAATAATGTGATCCCAATTTTTGCATAAAATTGCAAGAAGAGTTACTACAAAAAACGTGCAAATAATATGGAAACGGCTTTTCATCATAGGAGCTATAAACTTTGCTATGGTGGAGACACATACAAGGATAACAGTCATGAAGGCCAAGACTACATTTATGCTTTTTCCTAGTAGGACTTTGGCATTAACCGTTTCTGATTGTAACGCTTGCTGTTCTTGCTGGTGGAGCTCCAATTTAGCAACCCGTGTCTGGCAAGATTCCAAAGCTTCCTATTGGCAGAAAACAGGGAGGGAACACAGTGGAACAAAATGTTTAGGAACTTATATACAAAATAGATTTCCATTCCTATCTGATCAGTTCAAGAAGAAATTCAGCCTACTGGAAAATGACCCTCAGAATTCCCAGCTCCATTATACCATTGGAGACATTGATATAAATCTTAAAGATTACCCTCATTTTGTGTAAATGATTTAAAATATACCTTGACAATAATAAAAGTTCAAATATTTCTATTCCCTATGAAGATATAAAAAGTGATGTCTTTTCCTTTTCAGTTTCTCTGAATATATTGGTCATGAACAGTTGAGTCAACTTTTTAACTCTCACACTAAATTTCAAAAGAAATTATCATACTTCTTAAGAGAAAAAGCACCATTCTTTAATTATAAGAACAAGGCATGTGACATTTTACATACTCTTTCCAGCTTAATTTGTTAAGGACTTGTGTTTACAAGAATTTTTTCAGAGTAATTAATTTTTAAAAGTTTTAACAACCAATTTATTTTACTTTGCAACAAATTAACCTTTTATAACTTTCATAAAATTAATTTTCTGGATGGCAATATGCAGAAGGGCTCTTTGCACTAATATTCTTTACAAATAGGAAACAGTATTATTTAATTTTTAAAAGCTGATACCTGAACATCACGTGACCGTTCATAAGCCTGATATGCTACTTTTTCTTCAATACTGGCCAGTTCTTGTTTCAAATAGGCTGTTTCATGTTGATGGAGGTCTGTTAAATCATTTAGCTGGTCTTCTAAGTGCTCATATCTTCATACAAATTTCAACAACAAAAAGATTTATTAAAGTTACTTTTGGAATAGTTTATCTATGTATAACTTAAAATATCATTTGTGGGCTTTTTAAAAATCATAATAACCAGCCTTTTCATGAAGTGAGAATAAGTTGTCTTACGCAGAAGCTAGATATTTTAGAGTTTTTAAAAATCAAATAGTTGATTATTTTAATTTATATAGTCACCCATCTCAGATGCATAACTCTGGGTGACTTAAAACAATTTAAAACACTACAAAAGAACAAAATATAATCTTAAAAGAAAACCATATAAAATTATATAACACAATTCGCAGCCAAGATATATAAAACAGTAAACATTCAAAATAACCACTGCATAGGCTATATGGCACCTCTAGATCACCAGGCCTGGAGGCAATGTCACATCTTTAAACTTTACAAAAGACCAATGGAGTCGAGGCAATATGATCTCCCAGGGGGATGATGAGCCAAAGGATGAGTGAGCTCCATGACAGTAAAGGCTCTCTTCCTAGGCCCTGCCAGATAACATTCTCTAACAGATGGGACCTGAAGCATATCTCGCCTACCAGTTCTAATGGGGTGGGTAGATGTAAGCAGGGAAGGCAGTCCTTCAAATAACCTGGTCCCATGACATGAAGGACTTCATAGATCATCACCGATATCTCGAACTGAAACCAGAAGCATAATGGCAGCCAACCACCCATAGAGCAGCAGTGTACAATTGTAATATAATAACATATAATTGTATACCTGAATCTTTCCTCTTGCAAGGTCTGAGAAATAAAGCCAAAATCTCTTTTAAACTGTACTTTTAAATTCTGAATATCTTCTGATAATTGGGATTGTGCTTCCTTTATTTCCCTCAGTTCTTCCAAGAATATGGAAAGTTTTCCATGGTTGTCCAACGTATTTGCCCCACCTTGACCAAAGGATTGGTTTCCATTACTGTCTATGGAGCCTGATGTTCCACTTGAGCATTCATCATCACTGGTGTATTTTGGCTTGGCTACTATGGTGGCACTACCACCATATGCCCTAGAAGTAGTTTCTGGTCTGAAGTCATCTAAGCTACTCTTCAAGTGAGCAATGTTGTCAGCACTACCAAACTTATTCCGAATCAGATTTGCAAACTCCCTGGATTTGTTGAAAACAAACACTGGTGGTGTCAACGAGACTCCCGGAACCCCTGTTTTGCTGCTTTCATTGGCCTGGCTGGTAGCACGAGCTTTTCCATGTGCATCTTTTAAAGAGTGTTGGATTTCCTTTAGGCTGTCTTTGGAAGTATCTCTGGTGCTTTTGGAGAAACTGTTCTGTTCTATTTCTTTTAGTTTTCTGTGATATTGTTCCAACTTTTTTTGCAGCTGGGCTATGGAATGGGCAGACTTCTGATTCTTCTTTTCAAAAACTTGTTTAATTCGTCCAGCTTGTTGTTTGTCTGCACTGTTCACCAGTTTCAAGTACTCAGCCACATTCCCATCTCGAGCTGTTTGTTCTATTTTTATTTGTTCAGTAACTTTCAGAATTTTTTGTTTCAGACAATCTGCACTGAGTTTTACTTTTTGAAATTCAAATATACCATCAGGTACATCAAAATTCAGATTAGTGTCTGAACCTCCCCGGCGAATATTAAGTGGCAAACTGAGTGTATTCACATCATGTCTTTCCACCTAAGAAAAGATTAAATACAAAAAACAGTAAGGATTTTGTGAAGTTTTATACATACAGATTTAAGTCATTGTAATCAGAAACTATTCAGAAAGTTATCAGAATTTACTATCATAATTATCATGAGAAATAGAAAAAATCTCATTTTCATGGTGTAAAAATGAGAAATAGAAAAATTGTTGCAGAAATACACTGAGAAAACAGTGTTCTGTTCTTTCCGTTAGGCTAAACACAATAGATAATAAAACACAAGTAATAAATAATACAAGGTTATATGATTTTACTTCACAATTATAAATAATTTTAAACCTAAACTATGCTACATTCCTAAATGTATTCACTTTCATTCAGAAGTTAAAATAACGTAACTGTTCTGCAGATAAAAGTTCCATAGGTTGTTTTATTTGCTACACAAATTGTTTATTTTTATTTATGTATTCAATTTCTATAGCCTCCAGGGGAAGGCTACTGTAAAATCTCCATCCCTCCCTACTCCAGGAGAAAGATACTGCAAAATCCCCATTTTCTCCCGATCAGCTGGGGCTCGGGAGGCAGAGAATAGATGGAGACAGGGCCAGTGAGAGGTGGTATTTATCAGTTCTCTGAAGTACTCAAAATTTCCACTATTGGTTCTCCAGAACTGGTCAGAACCTGCTGAAAAAAACCTCTGGTCTAAGTGCAGTGATGTCCTTAAATCCACAATTTCTTTTTTGATTGTATTATGTTTGTGCATATGCCTTAGCACAGCGATGGCGAACCTTTTTTAGCTCGCATGCCATAAATGGGGGGTGTGCAGGGGGGGGGGCGTGCGCGGGCCTTGATTTAAATTTGATCATATGCATACTCTTCTAAGCTTTTTATCATAAAATGTCTGATAGACAAAACTGAGAAACATCTTATGTATGACTCATCTCCTAAAGAAATGGAAACATCTTGAGTTAGTGTAAACTTAGAGTAATATTATGTACTAAATGATTTATGTTTATACAAAATATAATCAACAGTAGTACCAAGGGCAAGTTGCATAAGCTTCAGATCTGACTACAATCTCATTTTCATGGTGTAAAAATGCTTATAAATATTATGCATAATCATATGCAGAGCTTATCCTGATTCTCTTGTGATTTGAGTAAAAATGAAACCTCTCTTTTTTACAAAGGTGAATGACTTCTCTATGATGTACTCACATTAAAAATATACATATATGTATATACTCATACAAAAGCCATCTGGGAAAACAAGCAAAGTACATTTGTGTTGGATGAAATACAATTATTTATTTTTGGAGCACAAAAGGACAGGTCTCCCACCGCCGGGCCGCAATTCATTACCAGGCCATGGCATATCAGAATAAGGCCACGTGAGTGGTGCCCATGCCAACCTGTTGTTTTTGCAAGTTAAGCTGCATGCTTGCACACTGGCCTACTGCTTGCGCAAGGGCTGCATGTGCGTACACACTGGCTTGCCGCTCATACAGACCAGTTTCCCTCTCCCTCACAGCTAAGCGGCCAAGCCACCAACGTTGGGGACTGCTACCGGCCTGGCAGGGGGGAGGAGGGTTAGAGGGGAACTGGGCCACATGCAAGGGCCCACCAGCTCACTCTCGCACAAGTTGAGCTGTGCTCACATGTTCCAGTCTGCCACTTGCATAACCCAATTCGGAATATGTCATGGCCTGGGGGTGATTCATGGCCTGGGGGTGGGGACCCTGACATAATATAAAACCATGATCTCATTATTTGCCTGAGTTTTAAAAAGGTATTTTTAAAAAAAACCAAGTATGTAAATAAATTAAAAAGATAAAATATATACAGCAAGTAAGAAGAAGCTGATAGTAAAAGCAAAATCATATTTAGAAGAAAAAATGAGAAAAAATATTGAAATTGTTTTCTAAACACCTGGAAGAACAAAAGATTAAATTGACATCAAATTTGAATGATCTGTTTAATATCATTATTTGCTTTAGAAATGTCCAATCAGAAGTAACTAAAAGATTGTGAAATAAACTAAAACAAAATGAAGCTGATTTGCAAAAAAACAAAACCAAACCACACTGTATTACAATCTATTGAAAAACATATTGTTCAAAAGTAATACTAAAGATATATTTACTTTTACGAGTTGTAAACATACATTTATTCTAACTTGTTTGGCTGTTTGACTTGTTTTGGCACCAGTTTATTACATTCAGAGTAAAACATTATTTCACTGAAATTAAACTCAATTCACTTAATCAAGATTCAATTACAGGTGAAACTCGAAAAATTAGAATATCGTGCAAAAATTCATTTATTTCAGTAATGCAACTTAAAAGGTGAAACTAATATATGAGATAGACTCACTACATGCAAAGCAAGATAGTTCAAGCCATAATTTGTCATAATTGTGATGATTATGGCTTACAGTTCATGAAAAACCCCAATCCACAATCTCAGAAAATTAGAATATTACATGCAATCAATAAAAAAAGGATTGTACATAGAACAATATCGGACCTCTGAAAAGTATAAGCATGCATATGTACTCAGTACTTGGTTTGGACCCCTTTTGCAGCAATTACTGCCTCAATGGCATGGAAGCTATCAGCCTGTGGCACTGCTGAGGTGTTATGGAAGACCAGGATGCTTCAATAGCGGCCTTCAGCTCTTCTGCATTGGTCGGTCTCATGTCTCTCATCTTTCTCTTGGCAATGCCCCATAGATTCTCTATGGGGTTCAGGTCAGGCGAGTTTGCTGGCCAATCAAGCACAGTAATCCCACGGTCATTGAACCAGGTTTTGGTGCTTTTGGCAGTGTGGGCAGATGCCAAGTCCTTCTGGAAAATGGAGTAAGCATCCCCGTAAAGCTCGCCTATGGAAGGACGCATGAAGTGCTCCAACATCTTCTGGTAGACGGCTGCGTTGACCCTGGACTTAATGAAACACAATGGACCAACACCAGCAGATGACATGGCTCCCCAAATCAACACAGATTATGGAAACTTCACACTGGACTTCAAGCATCTTGTAGTGTGGGCCTCTCCATTCTTCCTCCATACTCTGGGTCCTTGGTTTCCAAATGAGATGCAAAAGTTGCTCTCATCAGAAAAGAGGACTTTGGACCACTGAGCAACAGACCAGGTCTGTTTTTCTTTAGCCAAGGTAAGATGCGTCTGACGTTGTTTGTTGTTCAGGAGCGGCTTGACAAGAGGAATACGACATTTGAAGCCCATGTCCAGGATCCATCAGTGTATGGTGATTCTTGATGCACTGACTCCAGCCTCAGTCCACTCCTTGTGAAAGTCCCGAACACTTTTGAATGGCCTTTTCCTGACAATCCTTTCCAGGTTGTGGTCATCCCTGCTGCTTGTGCACCTTTTTCTTCCACACTTTTCCCTTCCACATAACTTTCTATTAATGTGCTTTGATACAGCACTTTGGGAACATCCAATTTCTTTTGCAATTACCTTTTGAGGCTTTCCCTCCTTATGGAGGGTGTCAATGATGGTTTTCTGCACAACTGTCAGGTCAGCATTCTTTCCCATGATTATGATTCCTACTGAACCAGACTGAGAGACCATTTAAAGGCTCAGGAACCCTTTGCAGGTGATTAGCTGATTAGAGCCTAGAATATTGCACCTTTTCACAATATTCTAATTTTCTAATTTTCTGAGATTGTGGATTTGGGGTTTTCATGAGCTGTAAGGCATAATCATCACAATTATGACAAATCATGGCTTGAACTATCTTGCTTTGCATGTAATGAGTCTATCTCATATATTTGTTTCACCTTTTAAGTTGCATTACTGAAATAAATGAACTTTTGCACGATATTCTAATTTTTAGAGTTTCACCTGTATGTCCTCTTCTCCAATGTTTATCTATTAGCTGTTTAGTGATATCACATGACATAAAATAGTCTTTCTTAGATAGTAACTTGCATCCTTTTAATTTCCTTTTGTTCTTAAAAAATGGAATCAGCAAAAATAGTTTCTCTTCATAGGGTATTCCCAATTATAAAAATAATTACACAATGAAACAAAATACAAAAGAATGAAATGGTTCAAATACCATTATTTGATCCTAAATTCCTTAATGCATAAAGCCATGCACAGGCAATATACAAATTAGTCACTTCTTTATTATTAGCACCCTCCTTAGCATTTCTAGTACATAAATAAAAAGAATTCTCCAAAGGTAAATTTTGAGTATACAAGAGAATAAAGGAATGTGTCAAAAAAATGGAAGTAATTAAAATGTGCCCAATATGTGCATTAATTAAAGGGGCATCAGCACAAAAACTACAATTCTCTACCATAAATCTTAAAATTTTATTCTACATTCTCTGCTGTTAAGATCTAATATCCAAATAATGTTCACTAAATTTTAAAACAAACGTGATAGTCGCAATGTATTATTTTATATTTACTGATTGAAGCAAAACAATTTACCTAGAGTAAACGCTACAGTATGTGCACAGCAAACATGATGCTTTTATTGAATATCCTGGGCTGCAGTGTCTCATTTTAATATGCTGGAGCTCAACAAAAATAAGCACAATCTTTTTCAATGGTAATGCTTGCTGTGATGAAATGCATCTTTAGAGAACTGCAAAGGGAAGCAACACATACAATTTGTGTCCCCATTCAACTGTGAACTAATTAGATAGAATAAGAAACAGCTCCAGATGTGGTCTAATAGGCTCATCAGCATAGTCTCTGGCTAATATTTTTGCTACTTACAAAATAAATAAGGCATTTGAGAAATATCTTTAAACATTATGTTGGCTTTCTACCGTATAATAATAGCACCTAATACCATAGGTGCCATTATTGTTTTACACATTTTACATTTCTGAGCTCATATATGCCTTTGAGATTCTTCCTATTGCAGGATATTTGTGCTCTCACTGCTAGAGTGCTAGAAGAACGGTTGCATGGCAGTTGCCATTAGGATATCTACAGTGTTCTTATTAATGTACCAGTAACAAAATGTTAGTCCAACTCCTTGTTTTTTATGAAAGAG